TGTGTGTGTGTGTGTGTGTGTGTGTGTGTGAATAGAAATTGTCGGCTGCTGAGTGTCGGCCGTCTGACAAGCAAAGAGAAAGGCGAGGAAAGACGAGGGTTAGAGTCTGGCAGGTGTGCAGAGGACCCTTCAATATGCTGATGACACCCCCACCTGGATCTGGCAGGTGTGTGTGTGTGTGTGTGTGTGCGTGTGTTCAGAGACCTCTCTCCTCCCCCCTATCTCCCCCTCTCCCCTCTCCTCTGCCCGGCGCCGCAGGGTTAAACATGAATAATAAATCCCGGCTCCTTATGGCGAGCTGAGAGGAGACGGTGTATGCAGCAGACGTCATCGTTGATGGTGTCGGAGTGACGGCGGAGAGGACGGCTGTTCAGTCTGAGAGGAGCCTCACTGTCAACACGTCCTTCTGTGTTTGTTTTAGAGGGATCTCTGGGTTTTTGGAAAGACGAGTCCTGACAGTTCTGAACAAATGATCCCATTTCATACATTTACACACAAACTTAAAGCTCCTATGAGGAATTTTGGGTTTGTGTTGATTTTGGCGCCCCCTGTGGACAGAGCAGTCTTTGCTTATCTTGTCTTCTATGAGTTTAAGTGATGAAAAATCTCATCCTGCCGTCGTAAACAGTCTGAATATTTCATGTAGAAATTAAAAAACAGGGCTGTTCCTCGAGCGAGCAGGAGCGTCTGTTTGTGGGCGGGGCTTGAGGGGAGAGGAGGAGCTGAGGGGAAAACTGGTTGGAGGGGTAGAGTTTACATTCAAGATTTCTCCTAAAAACTGGAACTAACTCAGATCCTGACTACACCACCTTTAATTAAAAAATAATGCTGTGACCAATTATTTCATGTTTCTAGTTTCGATCATGTTCCATCTGTTTACATGGAAAAGGCTAAAGGGTTAAAGACCTTTACAGCTGCTGGTCACCAGGGGGAGCTCTCGTAGTCACGGTTTCTGTGGTTTTGAAAATAGTTTTCTGTTTAAAAAATAAAAAAGAATTTAAAAAATCAGGAGACGTTCGAGTCGATTTCTGGTAAAACTGGTGATCGTTAGCTTGATCAGTTTCTGAAGGCTCATCGTTAAAATCACCACTGTGACTTTTTTACAGAGTTTCTTTTGTTGATTCAGGAGATCGTCGGACTGCTGCTTGTTCTTGGTCTTTGTCTGTTTCTCCTCTAAATAATCTTTATTTTTTAACTCACAGTTTTACATACAGTCGTTAAAATTAACGAATCATTAACTGAGCTGCAAAGACAGACACCAAGTTTTACTCTCAGATAATCGAGGTCCCGTAGACGTCTAACCTCCTGGTTTTGGAGTCAACACTGGAGGAAACACTAAGCAGCCTAAAATCAGAAGAAACGATGGACTGATAAAACTTGAGTTTAAAGGTCAATGTGGTCGGACAAACCGAGAAAACAATAGAGAGTGAATAAATAAAAAACAACATTTTGACATTTAAATGGAGATAAAGAGTAAGTCTAAAAACACACCTGCTGTCGGAGCGTTTCCCCAAAGGTGCTGAAATAAAAACAGGAGAGAGAGCCGACCGTAAATCTTAGACGAGTCGCTGCTCCAAAAAAACAACCTGACGTTTTATTTTGAGCCGATAAAAAATCTCATTTTCAGTTTTTGTACCTGATAAAGATGTAATAATAATAATAATAATGTTATAACATAATAATGTTAGAGTGATTTTAACATTTAAGCAGCGATGTAGATTTCCAACCTGACAAAACCAGATTCACTTCAGATACTAAAGAACCAAAGAAAGTTTACAGTTTTACTTTGACACTTCATGACGTTATTCTGGTCTCCTACAGATCAGGTCCAGAAGGATACAGCTGGAGAAAACCAGGACTATTTACAGCGAAACTAAGACCTCCAGAAACAGCTGAAGTGGTGCTCCTCCCTAACAGATATATATCAGAGAAATCCGAAAAAAACACAAAAATCCAGAACGGCTCTGATCCTGAACTGCGGTGATTTTCGCAGTACTCCAATCCGGATCCGTTTGTGAGGTGAATTTTGGCGGATGGCGGATTACAGACAGCGGGACTCATGAGAACTCACAAGAACCTGCAGATTCATGTTCAATCTCACGATAACGAGTTGTCTCTCTAAAGACAGACACATAGACATATAAGCAGTAGATTGTGTCCTTCCAGAGGAGGAAATCTACTTCTAGACTTCTAGAATCATCATTTATCCGCCATGCTCCGGCGTCCAGAAAAAATAGAACTCTTGTGATCAGCTGAGGAGTCCGGCGATCCGCAGAGGAACGGAAAGAAGTCGGTGTAAATTGACACGTTAACTTGAATGGTTACGATCAGCTACGATCGGAGGATACGACCTTTTAGGAGACGATCAGGATGAAGGTGGAAGTTCGGGGGTTAGCGCTTCAGTGTTCACAGAGTCAAACGGTAGAGAACAAAAGAAGGTTAAAGAAGAGCAGGAGTCACGGCCCTGAGGACGCTCTTCGTCATGCTGGGGAGGTCAGGTTTTGTCCTGATTGAACGTTTTTATGAGCTTGTCATGTTGTTAGAGTTGGTCTGATTTGGACACGCCACGCCTGCTTACAGGCTAGCGTACTCGCTTAGATGCTAACCCATCTGGTCTGGGGTCCAGGTACTGTGGGTCTCATCTCTAGGGTCTTTTCAGATAGAGGGTTCACTGTAGGAGGTTATCCTTTGAAAGATGACTCCCTGCTGTCATCAGTGATGGACATGTTGAGACCGAGGCATTGCTTTTCTTTTTGTGAAAATACTGACGTTAAAGACTAAACTTTAAGATTTTATCACCGTACAGTTTAGAAAAATATCAGCATGCTGTAAAACACTGAAGCCCCCCCCCCCAGCCGTGACCTTTAACCCCTAAAAACAGGACAGGGTTCAGTTTTAATGTCGGCTTCACAGAATACAGGAGGTCAGAGTCATTCTCATCAGCTGCGCATTTAATGTATAACAACAGTACAAAGTGAGTCTTCTGCTTCCAAAATAGGAGTGTTCTTTATGTACAATAATATTTACAGTCATATAGAGTTTAAAAAACGTCTGACAGGTTTTATTGCACGACACATTTATAAATGATCATGGAACATCACATGAGACAGACGACTTCTCCGTCAGACACCGAACAGGAAATGCATTTATTCTTCTTCTTCTTATTTTATCTTTAGCATGAGTCAAGGTCCTGTGGGGGGGCACCGACCCCACTGATACTGAAATGGTTAAAAACAGCAGCGCTGCAGAACGACACCTTCCCACCGCGTCACAGCGTCACAGCGTCACAGCGTCACGGTGTCACGGCGTGACGGCGTGACGGCGTGGTGAAAACAGCCTCAAGCACAGAAAGAAGTTCGTCTTTCATCGCAGCGACGGGTGAAAAAAAAACAAACAAAAACCTGAAGAAACGCAAAACCTCAGAGCGAAGTTTCATCTTGATAACGGTTTCAAAGTTTAGATATGGCACTCCACAAATACAGCAGCCAGGAGACGACGAGCAGGCGGGTCAAAATGTACAAACGCAGGATTAAAACTCTGAGACATGGAGACACGGCGGAGCGAAGACGGAGTTTAAGGACAGACTGCTGATCCGAGCACATCTAATGAATCATGTCTCCACCTCCGGGTGTATAAAACATGAACACCTGCATGTCCCCGGGGTCACAGATCCTCCTCCTCCTCCTCGCCGTTTCATTTTCAGGTTAAAGTCAAAGTGGATTTATTGGAGAAAATCAATACGGCATCAAAGCTTCAATCTGAGCCGATCAGAGCCGATCAGCAGGAGCTCCTCAGGTCTCACTCACTCATTTCAAGTATAAGAACTGAATGTAAACAATGACTGATGAGACGGGGGGGCGGGGCTCTGTCGCCCGGGGTTAAGCTAATCTGATCCAGGATCAGACTGTGGCGTCATTAATCATGCTTCCTGCTACCGTTCAGTTTGGTCTCCACTTATCTCTGAATTGGTGTCCGATCGATCACGGCGCGACAGAATCTCTAATGGATCAGTTTATTAATAAGAGCTCTGAACATGAATGAAACATGAGAACATTTATATTTGGCACAAAAACCAGCGACCCGCTCTGGAAATATCTTTGATGGTGATTTATCATGGTCACAGGGCGGCCATTTTCCTCTGATGTCATGCTCAGGGTTGGAGCTCTAATGAGGTTTGGACGTTTTTTTAGTCTCGTTGGTTTGTGACCCTCATAAATACGGGGAATCGGACGCATTTATTTCAGGTTATTGTTTAATTTAATGATCCTGAAACTGGAGGATAGTAAAAAAATATTAAAATACTAAATATTTTCTAACTCATCGTCAGCCTACAGCTTCGTCGTGATGGTTAGTGTTAGCATTCAGACAATGTCTATCTAAAATTAGCTTTGGCGAGCTGGCGGAGATTATTTTGTAGTTTTACATCAAATGGATAAATTTGGAAAAAGCAAAAACCTGCACTTGAGAAATGAAGCCGATTCAAAGGTGCCAAAAAACTGCAGTTCTTAGAGTGTCCACTAGAGGCTGTCTCTAAACGCACCAGAAGATATTCTGAAAATATTAAGATGATGAGCAAAGACGCTAAAGGCCCGCCTTAACTCCGCCTCTTTTTCCCTGCTCGCCGGACTGAAAGTTAGGATGAGTCAGCGTTTTCAGTCCGGATGATAATCTTCAAAACTGCTTCAGAACCGAAAAGTCAAAGAAATGACAGACATGTTTTAGGAAGTTTGCAGTTTGGAAGGTAATAAATACCAAAACGGAGAATTTTGGCGATAAAGAGGTTATTTTTCAAGGTCATGAAACATTTCAGCGAACCCTTAAATCTGCCAAACTACGAATAAAACAGAAAATATTCATTTATAGTTAAAGACTAAGTTAGGTGGATCAATACTTACAAACCGTACTGTAAACTTGCTAATAATGTTGTTGTTGTTAGCTGTTATTAGTTTATTTGAATTATATTAAACCTGTCTCTGTTGAGTTTGGCGCCCCCTGTGGACAAAGTGGTAACCTTGTTATTGTTGCTGATTTTGTCCATCACTCACTGTAAATATCTCTGCTCACTGTACACTGTTGCTAACTTTGCTGTCGGTAGCTAACGCGTAATTAAAACGAGGTTTGGGATTAAAGCTACTATAGGGAGTTTTTACTGTTATTAAATGGACTGAGTTTGATACTGATGTTCTTTAATATTATTCAAAAACAAACAAGAGCATCACAGAAAGAGTGACTTTAATTTAGAGTGGGGGGGGTAGGTGTCAGGTGAGCAGCTGAAGAAACAGACCCGACCCTGTTTTTAACCATGTCGACATAAAATTATCAACCAATGACGCGTGAGGATGAGATTTCCTGTCAACACCTGAGCAAAGACTGCTTCGACCACAGGGGGCGCCAAAGTTACCACGAACCAAAAGTTCCTTACAGTAGCTTTAAGTTTGACAACATTTGACACTTTTTATTTTTTATTCATGATCGTGTCGTTTGAGTTTCCGAGCACGAGAGTCAGATCAGCCGCCGTGAGACCATGATGAAAACCGTCTCCCTCTTAAAAGACTCACAGATCTGTTTGAAGGACCATCAGACCATCATCTTCATCTAACAAAAATAAACACATCATGATGTCGTGGAGACAACGCCACAGGAAAAGGCTCAGTTACACGTCTCTGCTCCCGGCGGCTACAAATGGCGATGTCACTCCGAGTCTGTGATATGTGGAGCGAAAACGCCGTCCTTCGTCTGTGACATGTCGGAGGAACCCGGAGTCTGGTTCCTCCACATGTGCCGTCCCGTTAAATCCTGTCTTCGTGGAGCTCCTTCAGCGACTTCTTCAAGTTTGAGTCATTCTTTATTAAGTGCTGCGCTCGCCGCCGCCGTCGGAGCTCCAGCTGAGACACACTCTCTCACACTCACTCACTCACACACACACACACACACTCACACGTTTAGTGGGAGAAGCAGCCACTTTATAAAGGCAAACCACGACCCAGCAGAACAGAAGAGCGGCAGATTCAGCAGCTGTGACGGCGGCCCGAATCTCTCCTCTCGTGTTTTTCTCGACCCGACGGTTTCAGAACTTTCTTCAGAAAAAATGATGACACTGGACTCAGCAGATGAGCTGTGGGACGCTCTGCTGTCTGATGTGTAGTCTGTGTATGTACATTTGTGTGTGTGTGTGTGTGTGTGTGTGTGTGTGTGTGTGTGTGTGTGTGTGTGTGTTGATACAGTAGGCCCATTGATCCGCAGAGTCTCTGCTGAGTACATCCATATCTGTAGGTGTGTGTGAGTATCTGTGCACCTGCGTACGCTGCAGATGGGTTTAAAGTCCTCTGTTGTGGTGTGTGTGTTTGTGTGTGTGTGTGTGTGTGTGTGTGTGTGTGTGTTTCTGTGTGTGTGTGTGTGTGTTTCCTTGTGTGTGCCTCAGCTCTCTGTAGACATGGCTGAAATGATCTGCTCCACTTTATACGCCAACTTCTGCTTCTGGGCTTGTTCATCCTGCTCCAGTGCCTCAATGATCTGAAACACACGCACACACACACACACACACACACACACACACACACACACACACAAATCAGTCACCACAGAAGTTCAACAGCGACATCGTCTGATTTTCTCGTCTCTGTTCGTCTTTTATTATTGATCACCTCTGAGCTGATCACTTTAATTTGAGCACATTTTTATACTGTAAACATATAATATCCTCGGCTTATTAACACACACAATATAAGAGGATGACCCCGGCTGTGTGTTCACGTCTGTTTCATTTAAAGTCTTTTTCATGATGGCGTCAGATTTGAACAGTGACCACAGACAGATGAGATGATTGATCCACGATCTGATCAACATGAACTCAGCTGAGAAACACAGAGACGGTTTTTTTTCTGACATCATTTCAGACAATAAATCTAACAGTGCAGCTGCCCCCTGCTGGCTGTTAGCATCAGTGCAGCTTTAAGGCGATTTTACATTAGCTTACACTGTTGTGTGTTAATCTGTTGAACTCTGAAGATTATCTCTGAGATTAATCCTGAACATCTGCTGAACTATCGTTAAAACAGTCGAGAATAAAAACTTCAGACTGTTAAAACGAGACGGGTTCTGGTCCAAGGAGACGGGTTCTGGTCTAAGGAGACGGGTTCTGGTCTAATGAGACAGGTTCTGGTCCAAGGAGACGGGTTCTGGTCTAATGAGACAGGTTCTGGTCTAATGAGACGGGTTTTGGTCTAAGGAGACAGGTTCTGGTCTAAGGAGACGGGTTCTGGTCTAATGAGACGGGTTTTGGTCTAAGGAGACAGGTTCTGGTCTAATGAGACGGGTTCTGGTCCAAGGAGACGGGTTCTGGTCTAATGAGACAGGTTCTAGTCTAAGGAGACAGGTTCTGGTCTAATGAGACGGGTTTTGGTCTAAGGAGACGGGTTCTGGTCTAATGAGACGGGTTTTGGTCTAAGGAGACGGGTTCTGGTATAATGAGACAGGTTCTGGTCTAATGAGACGGGTCTT